TCCCTACATATCCCCGAACATATGATATGCTTCATGCAAATGGGTTACTCTCTGATCTGGCCTTAGAGAGGTGCAGCATGAAGGACTTATTTTTGGAGATGGATCGGATTTTGCGCCCTGAGGTAATTCTTTGTTGTGCATGCTGGAATAGTCCATGAATTCTCGATAGATAACGAGTTTGATTGAATGTGTTTTCTTTATGCGACTAGTTAATTATGTGTTGTGGGATTAGTGGATGGCCTTTGTCATCTGAAATCATGATTGCTTTTCCAGGGATGGGTTGTTCTTTCTGATAAAATGGGAACAATAGAGATGGCGCGCATGCTTGCCACACAAGTACGTTGGGAAGCAAGGGTGATTGACCTTCAGAATGGAAGTGACCAGCGGTTGCTTGTTTGCCAAAAACCATTCCTGAGAAAATGATTATTTCGGCTTGGAGATGTCTCACCATTGTCGAAGTGTATAATTCCTTTCTTCCTCTGGTAAAAGCTCTCTTATCTGTCACCAAACTGGCAAGTACCCAACGGTTGATTAGCAAAGCGAGAGAGAGAACCAAGGTAATGTTGTCTTGCCGGCCAACTACGATGCCTCGATATTATTTCCAGAATACGAAGCAATTGGATGATGGCTACTCTTTATACTCCATGCTGGGATCTCAAGAACTTGATCTTTCCAGTATTGGGCAAAGAAATGTGAAAGGTGTAGATTAGAAGGTTTGGGCAAAAGTAACTGCAACTCATTTTTTGTCACGGCGTTTGTAGAGCAATTCATTCATCCAATATTTTTTTTTGGCAATTTTTTCTCCATCTTATTTCTTTATTGTATTTTGTATTGAACTTAATGCTTTTGTACGAACAAAATATTCTGCAGTTGAGTAAAGAAATATCAGTGGCCACCAAATGTAAGAGTGAAAATACGTTCTCTGTCTCTCTCTCTCTACACCCAATTGATGTATTGAATATATCAACATAGGCGTTTTCTTCTTCTACGTCTTTTTTTTTTGGTGTGGGCATGTCGATGTAGTTTGAAAAAAAATAGTAAAACCTGAGGCCGGCACGCTTGGCTGCAGTGTCTCAATGGTACTAGTTCTCTTGCTCTGATATGATGCATTATTCGATGCGATATTCATATAAAACACGCTCATAGTTTTTGTTTATCATAATCATGACGACATGCTACGATTCAACAAGGTGAATTAATAATTATGGAATTTAATCCCTGATTCAGAAAGGTGATGTTGTTGTTGTTGCTGCTGCTGCTGCTAATATAAGTTATAACTTGATATATAACTCTCTGGATTTAATATCATAGAAACTACGCACATGTTTGTTTCAACAACTCAAAAAATTCAAGAACAATTCAAACCATTAACAATGATTTAAGGAACAACTCAAATTGTTGATTTTAGAATTCACCCTATCCCTGAATTCTAACAATTTGTCAACAGTCCAACAATTTCAAATTTTATTTTTTCTCTTTAGTTTCAATCTTAAAAATGTCATAATTTTTTCGTTTTAATTCCTATTGAGATGTTTTTTTTAATGTGTTCACAATAAAAAGAATAATAAATCTCCACCCATATTGCATATTTTTTAATATAATTTATAATGAGATTTTATAAGATTTATTACAAAACTCTAATGGCAGTTTTATTCAAATACAGTTCTGATTTTATTCACCGTAGTTCAGATTCTACAATTCTAATTAAAAATGTTCAAATCTCTATAATTTGAGTTGTTGAACCTAACACGCCATACATAATTTTAGGGTATAGAAGGTGAAAATTATTTTAATAATTACTACATAACCTTGCTCTTAAATATTCCAAAATAAATTGTTATATTTCAATCCTACTCTTATAAACATGCGATGTGCTGTGATTTTTATTGTGGTCCTTTCTTCCTCGTTACTCGCCGTATTTGAAAAACTTGAAACCACCTTTCAAAAAAAAAAAAAAACTTGAAACTACGGTTCACTGAAGAAATAGGAAGAAGACCAATCCTCAGCAAAATCTTCTTGTTTCTCCCAACAGAAATGGTCCACTCTTAAGATTCTCCAATCTCTGGACTTTTCTCATGTGCTTGTTAACTTCCCTTTCTTCCTTTCTTCAAAAATCATCATGCCATAGGTCCCAACAAATTGACTCACACAATCATATATAATCTCTGCTCAATCTCATGACTCGACGGCTCTGTTTCTTCTTCTGTCTCTAGTAGCCATCTTTTCCCCATATTTTTGAAATATATCGGCCAAATCGAACATCCCAACCTCCCTCAATTTCTTCCCCACCTCCTCAAACATCACCACCCCTTCCTCATTCGAATAATAGTGCAGAAACTTATTATAATCAAACCTAGGCACCTCAAGTCCTCTCTTCATTGTTCTCTCAACATACTTGGTAGCTTCCAACAACTTCCCGGCCTTAACCAAACCGCCAACAAAAATGGTGTCGAAATTCACAAGAAGGTCCGATCCTTTCCTCCCTCTCTTCCCCAAATGTCCCTGCAACAACATCACATACGTGTGCATTATCGGCTCACACCCTCTCTTTATCATCTCCCTAAACACTTCTGTAGCTTCACTTGCCCTTCTCAATCTCAAAAGCCCTTTAATCAATCCATGGTAAACACTTATATCCGGTTTCTCAATCCCTTCCACAACCTTATAACCCTCCCTAACTCTACCTCTCACGACAAGCCCATAAACCAGTGACCCCAAAGTCAAATTATCAACTTCAATCCCTCTTTGACGCATTTCCTCAAACACCACGTAGGCCTGAGAAATCTTGCCCCTTTTGCACATCCACTGAATCACAAGCCTATAACTCGAGAGCCCCAAATCCTCCATCCTCTTCAGCCTCATCATCTGAAAAAGCTTCAGCGCCTCGTCGAACTGATTCGTCTTGAAGAACGTCTCCATCATCTTCTCAACCGCATTGATATCTGGCTCAAACCCTTCACCAACCATCAAATTCCAAACCTTTGACGCCTCAACCAAATCCCCCACCTCACAAAACCCCTTAACCAAACACTTATAAGTAAACCCATCAGGCTTAATCCACTCCCTCAACTTAAAAACGACATGCTTAGCCTCCTCCACAAGCTTAACGCTAGACTCACAAAGCGTCTCAACGACATTGTTCAAAGTCCGCAAACTATACCCGAACCCGAGACCATTCATGACGTGGAAGAACTCCACACACTTCTTCAACTCCCTAGCTTTAGCGAGCGTCGTGCTAGCTTTAGCGAGCGTCGTCAGGGCGATTTTGAACGTCTTGTCGTTAGCCAGACAACGCTGTCCGGACTCGCGGAGGAGGTCCCAGAAGAGGTCGATGTTGCGGGAGTTGCCGACGACGCCGAGCATTTTGTTGAAGGAGACGGGGGTGTGTTGGAAAGTCGGGTAAGTTTGGGTGTAGTTGAAGAGGCGGTAGACGGGACGCCATGTGAGGGGGAATTTGTTGCAGACTTGGAGGAAGAACTCGTGGGTGGGTTCGGAGTCGGAGAAGGTGCGGCGGAGGTTGGCGTGGAGGCGGGGGTCCGGGGAGGTCTGTTGCTGGTAGAGGATGGTGCAGACGCGGAGGACGTGGGATGGGTCGACTGGGCTCGGTGGGTTGGCGAGTTGGGTCTGGAGAGTTGACTCGGTTGTTAAGAGACGGAGGGAGATGGTAATGGTGGTGGTTATGAGGGGTTTTGCGAGGGTTTGAAGGATTAGCATTTTCCGATGTTTCCATTCACTGTCCGTATGTTGCAGCAAACACAAACTTGAGGTGGTGTCCGTATGTTGAAGGTTTTGCGTTGTTGTTTTGTATTTCTCAGTTATGGTAATTTTAAGTTGAGTTTGAGTTATAATTTGAGTTGAAGTTATAATTTAAGTTAAAGTTAGTTTGTGTTTAGATGTGCACATTTGAGTTATGATTTGAATTAAAAATCTATTTGAGTTTGTATTTAGGTGGATCAAAACTTAAATTTATATTTAGATAATATTTTAATAAAAACTCAATAGTGATGAAAAATTTTAATAGGGTATATGGGTTGAGTTTTACTTGTCTTTTCGTTGTGAATCCATAGAAAAAAAAGCATCTCAATCAGAATTAAAACGAAAAAGTTATGACATTTTTAATAATAGAAAAAATATTATTTATTAACTTGAGTTCGAGTTTATGAACTCAAGTTGAAGGGGAAATTGTTGTTTAGTTGGGGGATTCGTCCCTTATTCGAATCATGGTTCGTGGTTCGCTACAGTATTTTTTCTCATAAAAAATACACGTAAATCAAAAATGATTCTAATCACATAGTTCTAATCCATGAACCAAACGTCTCCTTGAACTCGAGTTTAGTCCCAAACTCGAGTTCAAACTAAAATTTTACAAAAGAACATGAACTTAGAATAAAATTGTAACTCGAGTTCAAACTTTTTCTAAATTTAGTTGCAAAAGAACAATAAAGTCAGGGGAAAAAAATATTTGGAAAAGAAAAACAACAAAAAACAAAAAATAAAAGGATTTTAACACATTTACTCTCTAAACTTGTGGTAGGTTAACGAATTGTATTCTAAACTTTTAATTTTAATAAATTATTTTCTCAATTTATAAAATTATTACAATATACTCCTTTTTAATGATAATTGTATTAAATTAGTATAAAAAACACGTTTAGTCAAACATTTCAATATTTCAATTCAAATATAATAAAAATATTTTAATATCTTAATTTTTAATCATTTAAATCTAATAAAAATTTTAAATAAATTTAATTAAATAGGCAATTTATTAAATTACAATAAGTTCACTGTCCGTATGTTGAAGGATTAGCATTTTCCGATGTCTCCGTTCACCGTCCGTGTGTTGCAGCAAATACAAAGGTTTTGTTAAAGTGAGGGAAAAAAATATTTGAAAAAAAAACAAAAAACAAAAATTAAAAGGATTTTAGCACATTTTATCTCTAAACTTATCGTATTTTAAGAAATTGCATTTTAAACATTTAATTTTAACAAGTTATCTTCTCAATTTATTATAATATGCTCTATTTTAATAATAATTGTGTTAAATTAATGTTAAAAAAACACATTTAGTTAAAAATTTTAACATTTTAATTTAAATATAATATAAATTTTTTAATATCTCAATTTTTATTCTTTTAAATTTAATAAAAAATTTGAAGAAATTTAATTAAATAGACATTTGTTAAACTACAATAAATTTAAGAATTAATTGTGCCAAAAACTCAAAACAAATTAAAATAGTGAAAAGTGGAGATGCGGGGGATCGAACCCCGTGCCTCTCGCATGCAAAGCGAGCGATCTACCATTTGAGCTACATCCCCGGCTGATAAAAGTCTTTCAACATATAAGAATATACATAATATTACATAGGCATAGCTTTTAGTTTTATTTTTTTTCTTAATTTCTCTTCTCTATTTTTTAAAACTATAGATGCACTGTTTATGTTTGATAAATATGTTTCCACTTCATCGCTCACATATTTTTATGAAAAAATGGTATGAAAAGAAGAAAATGCTCTTACTTAGGGGTGCTTTTTTTTTTTTTGTTCAAAGTATACAGAAAGATACATTTAAAATATATTTTTTAGATTCAAAATATCTTTTAATTTCTAAAAAAGATAGATAAATAAATTTAAAAAATAAAATTATTAAGCATGTAAATGTTTGTACAGTTAGACCCTACAGCTAAATATTTTTCTACTCATGTGTTTGCTCCGCAAAGCAATTGTTTATGTTTAGAAGAAAAGAATATTTGAGAGAAAAAGAAATCAACTTATATATACTTTCGTCCTATGTAGTTTAGAAATTAAAAGTGTAGTTCAATTTTTTTTCTCCATAAAATTAAGACTAAAGGAGGTTTTATTTAAACTATATCAAATCATGATCAATAATTGACTACTTCTTTTTTTTTTTTAACAAACTACTTAATCAACTTATTCATTTCTGGATAATGAACAAAACAAATAATAACACGTTTATCATGAAATGATTCGATCATTAAAATTTGACTAAAAAATTATCAAAAAATCAAAATTTGGCTAATAAAATTAATTGGCATAAAGGAGTAACTTTTGGGAAAAAAACAAAGGGAGATAATTTTAGAGAGAAAGAGAGAGAGAGAGAGGAAAATAAGGGATTTGTTGGTTGGATTAGTGTAATCAGTATTGTAACTATTGTTCCGAAATTTGAAAGAAGAACAAATTGAACGAATCCACATATTAACACACAATTTGCGCGCTTCCTCTTTGAAAATCCTCCCCTCTATTTCTCTCTCGCTCAAACCAACGGTCCAGATCTGGTCCTTCCCACCCAAAAGTTGCTCGATCTTTAACACGCCATTTTCCTCCCTCTATAAATGCATTTACCTTCTTCCCTCCCCTTTTCCCCCGCATCTCTAACCTCTCGTTTCAAAAATTAAAAAATTAAAAATAAAAAGAAAGAAAAATTCAAACACACATATTTCGTATATTACGACGAAAAAGAGTCACCAAAAACAAAATCTGCAGATTTTCGAGTTTGTTACAAGGCTTTCGTGAATCCTCTCTCTAAAACGATGTCGTCCGCCGAGAAGGAGAGAGAGACTCAGGTCTACCTCGCCAAGCTCGCCGAGCAGGCCGAGCGCTACGAAGGTGAAATTTTTTTCTCGCGTTTTCTCCGAGAAAATTTGATTTGCTGTCGTTTCTTATATTTCCGAGAAAATTTGCTGTTTTTAATCGGAATTTTGATCCTCCGTTGTGTTTGGATCTTAATGGTGAAGTAAACTGTCAAATGTGTTTCTCATTTGATATTCTGCGTTATTTTTCATATTTTTTCTGGAAAAAAAATAGTATAGAATGTGATCTGTTGGCAGAGATTTGAAACTTGGTGCTACAAAGGAATCATTTTTAATTACGGTATTGTTAGTTTTCTTTCTGCATCTGATATGAATTTTATACTCCTTTTGACGGTTGACGATTTTCCCATTATATTTAGAAAAAAGGAATCAAATGGCTCATTTTGATGTTTAGATTTTTTTTTATGGGCATTTTCCTAACATTTGGTCCTGAAATTTTACCGTATGTTCTATCGGGTTTCCTTTTTTTTTTCCCCTCTTTCTATTGACTCCCTTTGATTGATTAATTATGTGAAGATGTTTGTCTATTGATTGATCACTCGAGCATTGGGGGCAGTCGTTTTTAAATCATATATTATTTTGTGATAATACGTAATAGCATTCTTTCGAACATATGAAAAGACTTGCATTTTTTTTTTTAATGAAACTCGCATGTTTCAACACATTTGCTTTTACGATATGTATGATAAAAATATTTATGATTTGTATCATTAACTGTAATTTTAAGATCCCCTGGTCCTTATATCAATTATATTCCTTTGTCCTAAAATGGACATTTCTGTGAAGTAATCATGTTATGATTGGTTTTCCTCAGAGATGGTGGAATCCATGAAGAAGCTTGCGAAGCTTGATGTTGACTTGACTGTGGAGGAGAGGAACCTTCTCTCCGTGGGATACAAAAATGTGATAGGCGCAAGGCGGGCTTCTTGGCGTATTATGTCTTCAATTGAGCAAAAGGAAGAGTCTAAGGGGAACGAGAACAATGTCAAACTGATCAAGGGTTATCGCCAGAAGGTGGAGGATGAGCTCTCTAAGATTTGCAGTGACATTTTGACCATTATAGACAATCATCTGATCCCTTCTTCTGCCTCTGGAGAAGCAACTGTTTTCTACTACAAGATGTGAGTAATAATTGCCTTGATGGTTGGCACGTTCTATTCATTATTAGAAAAACACCCTTTCTAAAGTTCCATGCCCGATCATTTACTTTATTGATATGGTTGTCTGTATATTGAATATATTCCAAGATATGTTACTGTAGTATAATTGTCTGTATATGCTTGTGAGTGATGGGTTACTTTTTCAGCTTGCCCATGTGATGGGTGGGATTTCCTCCTTTTCTGTTTTGACGAATCTGTTAAAGGTTTGACAAAAACATTTACTGGAGTTTTTAACGTAGTACATGTTTCTAAAAGTTAAATTTGGTGAAAATTACCTTAAAATGAAAAGGTGTATGATACTCGCAGAACCTAATACAGATTTGATGGTTTTAAAATAGGGCCGTCCTTAATTTTATTTTTAGTTCTCCCCACTGATTTTAGTTTTTGGTGTGCTTAGATGTGACAACATTTTTTTTTTTTTTTTATGAAATGACAGTCATTTTAAATATCTAACTGTGTGCCCAACTCAGGAAAGGTGACTATTATCGTTATCTTGCTGAGTTCAAGACTGAACAGGACAGAAAAGAGGCAGCTGAGCAATCATTGAAGGGATATGAGGCATGTTTGAATTGCACTCAACTTTAGAACAAATTGTTTATTACTGGCAGTGCTTATGCATCTTTTCATTTGTTAATGACCCTTTTATTTCCATCGTTCTATCAGGCTGCTTCAAGTACTGCAAATGCAGAACTTCCATCGACCCACCCCATTCGTCTTGGCTTGGCTCTAAACTTTTCTGTCTTCTACTATGAGATCATGAATTCTCCTGAGAGGTAACTAAAACCTCATTTCTCTTGTTTCCTTATTATGGTATAATTCTGAATCTAATATTGATGAAAACTTTCAGGGCTTGCCATTTGGCTAAACAAGCTTTTGATGAGGCAATTGCAGATTTAGATACCTTGAGTGAGGAGTCCTACAAAGACAGTACCCTCATCATGCAGTTATTGAGAGACAACCTCACTCTTTGGACCTCTGATTTGCCTGAAGATGGAGGTACTATATTGTTAGGTTTTTATAACTTGGCTGTTTTGGCAACTGTCCTTGTCTGTAAAGATTCAAACCAGGCCCTAGAAGGTTCAATGAAGATCCGGGTGGCAGTTATGAAGTCGACTATGTGCTGATTTTGTGTTGGCTGTAATCGGATATTTTGCAGTGTAGATTTTGTGTTGATCAGATATTGTGCAGTGCAGATTTTATGTGGATCGGTTGTGGTGCAGAAAATATAGGAGGATGAATCAGTTCTCAAAGCAGATTTTATGCTGATTCTGAGGCGAGATAAAAACTGGTTTATGTGCAGATGTGATTACTCGGATTTTGTGGGCATCTTTTTACCGAGTATCTAAACAGCAAAATGAGGAGATAAGGATCTAGAAGATAGCATGAGATTTGAATTGACAGATTTTCTTTCGGATTTGATTTCCTGAAACTTAATCCGAATTTTACTTGACTGAGGTTTAAAACTCAAATTTAAGGAAGATTTTCTTTGCGCGGAAGTAAAGGAAAAGCGGATTAAGATATGTGCTGAATAATCCAAATTTGTTGGTGAAGTTGAAATTAGATTTCTCGTGTAGATCAAATAGGAGAGAATCGTGGAAAAGAAGTAAGAGAATCTAAGGTCCCGTTCACTTCGCTGATTCGAGTTTAGAATTCGAGTTGAGATGTGACTTTATGTGAGAGCTTTTTACTGTAGCAAAAAAGTTAGATGTGATTGTTTATGAGAACTTTTTACTGTAGAAAAACTCAAATTTTAAACTCGAATCAACGAAGTGAACGGGGCTTAAGTTTTTGTTTTGGAAGAGAATCTAAGTTTTTGTCTTGGACTAGATTCTCGTGATCTTTTGGAGGCATTATTTTAAGGCTTCGGTTTTAGCTCACTGAATATGGTTTTTACATAAGAAATTATCTAGAAAGTCTTGTGAGAATCGATGAGTGCATTAGAGTGTTTATTGAAAGAAATATTTTGTTGTTTCCAAGAGGAAGCTCATCTAATCGAAGGGAGTTTGTTATAGTCTAGGAGGGATTCCAGTGTGAATAAGTCCATTAGTGTTGTAATTGTTAAAACATAGTGGAACTGTTTATTGTCTGGGTGTGGCCCGTTAATGTAGGTGTGCACACCGAACTGCGATAATATATTACGTGTTCATTTAATTTTAGCATTTTATTCTGCTAGAGAAACTGAACACAATTAAACCAAACTTACAATCAGATCTATCATATATAACACCTAGTTCTAATTATTTTTTGAGACATAATTCTATTATCTTACTCATGTTTTTATCATGCTTTAATGCAGGTGAAGACAACTTCAAAGGCGAAGAATCGAAACCCGCCGATCCTGAGGCAAGTTCTTACTTCTTACATCATTTTTTCCCCTTTTTAAAACTTAATTTTACCAGTTTTTGACTTTTACTTGTCATTACTATTTTTTTTTTTATGTATGTCTTTTGTAGCATTAATGGGGGGACCTGAAAAAACCATGCACATGGCAAGTGGAGATCAATCTGCTTGGCAAAATGGGACTTTTTCGGGTTATCTTTGTTCTGATGAAGAAAGTGGAAGGAACAACTGATCGCGTGGATAAATTTATTACGTATTTTATCTCTTTAGGGACCCCAACCAGAGGCAGAAGTTAAGATTTATCAACTGTGCATCATTTCCTTTTTTTTTCCGTATTCATCAGTTTTCTTCTGCGTCATGTTTTTTTTATATCAGCTTTTTGTAGCAGTGGATGCTTCTTTTTAATCCTTTACTTTGTTATATTCTGTCTTTAACACCTGGCTTTTAACTACATTTCGTCGCACCTATTGTGGTTCAAGTTCGCTGCAGTCTCCAATGGGACCGAACATCCTCTTTTTGCCCATACATATTGGTGTAATTATTAATCCAAAAAAGAATTACTTGAAAGAAAAATTTGATGATCTGTCTTGATGCAAAATAGCAACACATGAGAGTAAGTATAGTATTCATTAAAGAAAAGAAAACAAGGGGGTATAACAGCAATTAATTAAGCAATATTTCCCAAACCAAGTGACATGAGCCAAGATGTTGTCCTATTCATGTCAGAGTTAAAATCATAATTTAACCTTTTTGATAAAATGTTTTTTCTCACTGTAGTTTTAAATTTTAGTCCACTCAAACTCGTGAGAAGAAGAAGCCAAGCTATTCTTTTACATTTGTAATTGTTCGTAGTTGGATTTCTTTGTTGCTTTTCCTTGGTTTTTAAAAGACGACCATTAAATTAAAAGGTCAAAGTAACTGTGGAAGATTAAAGTTGATGACATAAATAATTAAACTCTCACTTTGTTTCTCTTATTTGGATAATATAGAGAAAATTATTGCACCAGTTTAGATGTTTAATTAATACAGTTTTAACTAATATAATTATTTAATTAAAAATGATATTAATCAAGAGTAAAAAATAAAAATATGAACTCTTACACTCTACCAGTATTTGTCTCTTTTCCCCTTAGATTTATCATATCACGTACATTAAACTGAAGTGTAGACACAGACCAACCTAGTTGCTGTTTTCGTTTGCCAAGTTTAATAACGTCAAAGATTAATAGTTCACCTTGTTAGCGTTTATTAATCATGGGAGATAAAAGGTTCGTAATAATGCTCCTTTTTAACCAAATTAAGAAGCATGTGCAATTAGCCAATAGAATATGAACATGACAAAAAGGTTCTAGCAATGTTTATTCTCCTGCTAGGCTATTGCCAAGGAAATCTTATTGTTGACAAGAATAAGAAATTAAAATAAATCTGTCAACTTTACATTAAAGGGACTAAGCATCGCTAATCTATTTTATAAGGACAAGCAAACCACCCCTTCCAAGGTTTACCACTAACGCTTATAAAAACTTTCACCTGATAAAATCCCACGTACATCATAGCAACAATCACCATTACATATCCTAATCAAAGGAGGGTTTGAAACAGAACGAGTAAATCACGACGAGATAAACACATCAAGGGTATTTACAAAAGGTGTCCCATCTATGATTCTTCCTTGACGAAGAAACTTTGAGGCAAGCTAAAATCTTCCTCGTGATTCAAGATTTCCGTATCCTCATCATCCGGTTTCTAACATTTGAAGAGAACAAGAGAGAGTAAGACAAATAACCTCATAATTCGATATAAGACAAGAAAATCATACTCAACAATTTATTTAAGTTCAATCACTTTGTGATTAATGGGATCAGAACAACACATGTTTCAGTAAAAGAATGAGATTAGATTCAATAAATACCAAACGGCATAGCATAGAGATTTCTCATATGGAATGCATATTATGGTATTATAAGCAAAGTTACTTTAGACTTTAGAGATAATCAAATCAGGCTAATCAAGACCAACACAAAACCCTTCCACGCCATCCTTGCAAAATCAGTAGTAGCCACATTGAATTCACATAACCCCATTACAGCTTACTATACTACATGGAAGCTGAGTATCTTCAGTATTGGGAAGGGGAAAAGAATCCAGAAAACGATGCCAATTTGAACATCGCATTTATCAGTGCATCCTCTTTACAAAACAAGTCGGAAATCAACAATAATTTCTACGTTAATATTCCATACCAACACTTCCAAGTTGTAGAAACGATCCAACAACTGCAGAACTTCATCAGCAGAGAACTGTCTGTCAAAACTGAAACCAAAAACAGCAAAAGCACGAGTGTGAAGCAGAAGTTTGATTGTCTGTTCCAAATTATGGAGACGAGAAATAAAAACAAACGGAACAAACCTTCTTCGCAGGAATTCCATCAAACCAAAAAGAACAAAGTGGCGATGTATGCCTGTACAAAGATAACTTATTCAGTGCTAGTCTGTTTATATATCAAAATTTAAAGCAAATTAAGCAATGAACCTAAATGGAATTTTTCTGTATCTCCAGTGCATTAACAGATTACCTCCTGAAGTTTTACAGTATTACAAGATTTACTAAATTCAATGATCACATTACATATCAAGTTGTGTTTGCAATTGGCAAGTATAACTCAGTAGAACCGAAACAAAGACGGAGACTCCACAAACTCCAACCAACATCTTGGTCTATATGGGTCGTTATGGTCGTTATGACCAGTAATAATTTTAATTGCCGTTTGTCAACATAAAAGTAGTGGCCAAAACCAAAGGGCAAAGAAAGACCTTGTGGCCCAGTGGCAGAAACCCACATGCAAATTTGCAGTTTGCAAGAAGATGTTTAAAAGCCCTGACCTTCAAACAAAAACCCCAATTAATTAAATAAGGTGGATTCTCCATATCAATTTTCAAGAATTCAATGCCATTATCAAACCACTTCATCAAATATTTTCCCGAATTTTTTTCATCCACAAACTTTAACAAATAGTTTGTTAATATTTCAAATATACTCTGTTGTGGGGTAAGACCTTAAACCCCACACGAGGCAATGGCTGGGCGCCACGTGGCACGATTAAAGCATAAAATAATCAAGAGATAAAATACGGGGTGGCGGTAGAGCGCACATGATGAACGTCGACCCTTAACGGTCAAACAACCCCGCTGAAGGGATTGACTAGAAGGAACAAAGGCCACACCACAGAGACGAATGCTTCATTGGCCATGAACAAAGATCGCTTCCAAAGAGCTGAAGGCGACGAACCCACCCACGTTCAAACTGAAGTACAACTATACCAAGATTTGACGTGCATTAAATGCATGCAGAGTAGATGGTGAAGCCAGTGGAGAAAGTCAGGCAGACTGGCTAAAATCTCGGTGATCAGAGACTACAATTTCAGAGTATGGTGAAGATATCACAGGATTTAATTAGATAATTGATAATTGGCAGAACGACTTGATGTATATATGCAGGAAGAATGGGATGAGGGGGGTTCGGATTCTTGAACACCTCTTTCCTCATAACTTGTATTTTTTTACCCAGAATAGTGAAAAACTCTTAGTGGACGTAGCTCTATATTGGAGTGAACCACTTTAAATCTTTTGTGTTGATTTTGTTTCTTTTCTTCTTATTTTATGTTTAGTCATTCAATTCGTGCACAAATTACAAAAACTTGTTATTATTTATTGACCAGTTTGTACCGTCAACAATTGGCGACTCCACTGGGGAGAACCCAGAATCTTTAGTTTGTGTGTGTCAAGAATCCAAGACTACCAAGAGATAACCAACAATCATGCCTCTGAGAAGAGGAATGAGTGGTGCCGCGAATCAAGGCAGCCAAACGGAGGAGAATACCATGCATCCGGCCAACGGTGGGAGCAGAGGAGATCAACCTAACCAGGAGAATCAACCCCTGGTGAGGAATGAAACTCCAACCCCGAGCATGCCGCAGCTTGACCCGATACAAATGCATGCCTAGTTGAATGCTCTGACCGACTTGGGTCGAAGGTTGGTGACCACCATCGAGCGAATGGATGGGAGAAGCTCTGTGCCTCCTCTGGAGGACGCCCCGAGACCACCGAGCGCCGCCGTGGCCGGGAACCAGAATGCTGGTGACCAACACGGTGCCCCGGATGGGATCGGAGAAAGCGAAAATGCCAGGGGAAATAACTCGAGGCCTCGACCGTCCAAATCCCTCGGCAGCAAACAAAGGGCCGCCAGGCGACGAGCCCATGAGAAAGGAGCAGCTAGGGACCTGGAGAAGTTCCCTAAGGCGCCACATCGAAACCAGGGTAAAAATACCCCGGGGGATTCGGGGTTGGTACAAAAGGGCGAAGATCTGAGGAACAAGCTGGATGTCAAGAAGGCAGAAGCCTCAAAAGGGGTCAACTCTGTAATCTCAACAGATAAGGCAAAGGTCGTCATGGAACGCGTGGCAAACTTAGAAGAAAAGCTCACAAGTGAAGTCGCCAGTTTAAAAAAAGTAAAAAGCTAGGTGAGTCACCTACCAAAGAACATAGGACAGGTGGCGGAGGTAGTTAATGTTGACATCGCTCCCAGTCGAGTCCATGACCACCCTTTTACCGCAGAAATCATAGCACCACCTCTCCTAGATAAGTTCAAGTCCCCGTCGATCTCGCCATATGACGGCAGAGGAGATCCCGACGACCATCTGGAGATGTACACAGGGCACATGCTTCTGTATGGATACGCGGAGGAAATAATGTGCCGAGCGTTCCGGAACCACTTGACGGACTCTACCCGTAGATGGTTCCGGACACTTAAACTAAACTCCATCTCCAGCTGGGAAGAATTGAAGAAAGCATTCTCCCTCCAGTTCATCGGGGTAAAGAAATATATCCCGCCGAAGTAAAATTTGACAATAGTTTACCAAAAACTAAATGAGTCATTGAAGGAGTGGCTGGCGTGGTATGGTGAAGCAGTCGCCGCTACAATAGATATGACGAATCAGGAGGCTTTGATGAGGGTTTTATCTAGCATGAAAAAGAATACCTCATTTAAGCGCGTCCTGAACTGAAAGCCGCATGCCACCTATAAATAGTTCTTGACAAGGGCGCAGGGTTACATCAACGCCGAAGAAGCTGAAGCGAATGACCCCAAGCACAGATCTAACAAGAACAAAGGAACTGAGCAAGGTTGACGTCAGGAAAGCAAGACAATCGGAAACGACGAGGTGGGAGAAACAGAGATAAACAGGTCGTACCGGCGTCGAGCCATCCAGAAGCAAAGAAGCCGAAGCAAGACGAGAATCGGAGGCCTCGCCCGTTCCAACGGTATGATTCCTATCACGAGCCCGACTGTAGGGGTTGAATAAGTATTTAATCAGGTCAGCCGAGGAAATTTGTTGCGCCGACCGAAACTTATGAAGTCGGACCCAAATCGGAGGAACCAAAACAAGTATTGCAGGTTTCACGGAGACGTCGGCCACAACACCAATGACTACATCGACTTGAAGGACGAAATAGAAAGACTAATCCGTGAAGGAAGGCTGCAAGAATTCAGAGCTGATAGGAGAGGTCATGGCCAGGGAAACGACGATCGGCGCTGAGAGGATAATCGACGGGAGAAAGACCGTGGGCCGGTCGGTGTTATAAGGACCATTCATGGGGGCCCATACCTTCGAGATGACTCAAGGAGATCCCAGAAGAATTACGTCCACAAGGCAAGATAAGTGTATCAAGAAAAGTTTTGGAACCTCACAACTACTAGGCCAATGAAGACAGCAAAGTTCGGCAGCGCTGAAGTAGTCTTTACCGAAGAATATGCGAATGAGGTCCACTTTCCTCACAACGACGCCCTGGTAGTAGAGGCAATGGTTGGGAACCACACAGTCTGCATAATCCTCGTGGACAACAAGAGCTCAGTGGACATCCTATACTCTGACTGCCTAAAAAAGATGGGAATTTCAAAGGAACAACTGGAGAAAACATATCGACCACTATATGGGTTTACTTGGGATTCGGTCATCCCAACAAGAAATGATCAAACTGCCCGTAACTGCAAGAGAGAAGCCTAGGCAGACCGCTGTGATGGTGAATTTCATGGTAATCAAAGTGGGTTCGTAGTATAATACCGTGATTGGAAGGCCGACCCTTCAGGCGCTTAGGGCAACCATTTCTGTCTACCATCAAAAGGTTAAGTTCCAAACCCCCAATAGCATGGGAGAAATAAAGAGCAATCAATATGAATCCAGGGTCGCATACTCAGATGCTATGCGTGGATACGATCAACTAGGGAGACAAGAAGCGAAAATGGTGCATCAGAGGCCCGTTGAAGAAGATATAAATCTCAAGATCGAAGAGGAGATTACGTGGTCCCAACCAGTTGAGCAATTGGAGGAGATCCGAGTAGATGACAAGGAGCCGTGATGGTACTGAAAGTATACTCGAATTTACCTCCGACGCTTAAAGTCGTAGTAGAAAACTTTCTAAAGAAAAATCTGGATGTATTCGCCTGGACGCACGCTAACATGGTAAGGATCGACTCCAAAGTTATGTGTCACACTTTCAACGTCAATTCTTCTTATCATCCGAAGCGTAAAAATGTCGACTGATGAATCCGGAAAAATACGACGCGTTGAAGGAAGAGGTTGACAAGTTAATTAAGAACGGTTTCATCAGGGAGGCTCATTATCCTAGATGGGTCTCGAATCTTGTCCTGGTGATCAAGCCTAACGGGAAGTGGAGAACGTATGTTGATTTCAGTGACCTAAACAAAGCATGCCAGAAAAATGGTTTCCCTCTCCCTCGAATAGATCAGCTGGTCGATGCTATTGCCGGGCATGAGTTGTTGAGCTTCATAGACGTCTACTCCGGTTATAACCAAATTCCCATACACCCGGCCGATGAAGATCACACATTGTTCATCACGGATAGAGACCTCTATTGCAACAAAGTAATGCCCTTTGACTTGAAGAATGCAGGGACAACATACCAAAAGCTGGTAAACAAAATGTTTACTGGGCAGATTGAGAAGACGATAGAGGTTTATGTTGATGACATGTTAGTAACAAGCACGAAGGCCAGGCAACACGTTGCACACTTAGGGGAGATGTTTGATGTGTTGAGAAGATATCGCATGAAGCTAAATCCCCTGAAGTGTGCTTTTGGGGTTGGATCAGGAAAATTTCTTGAGTTCATGGTCAGTAACAGAGGAATAGAGGCTAACCCAGAAAAAATAAAAACCTTGCAGGACATGAAGTCTCCCACCAAGCCAAATGAGGCTGACGGGGTGTATTGCCACTCTTAACAGATTCATATCTAAGGCGACGGACAAGTGTGTGCCCTTCCTCGACGCACTAAAGGGAAATAAACGGTTTGAATGGACGCCGCAATGTGAAGAGACCTTTCAAAAGCTGAAAGAGCATATGGGCAAACCCCCTATCCTGTCAAAATCCATCTCGGGCGAGGGACTAAG